TACTTTTTTATGACTGACCAAAACCTTTTACTATTTGAAAAGTCTTTTATAATACTTTTAAATAAATGTTTTTTGTCGTTACGAATTGAACTGATAGCGGGATTCCGAAATTTTTTATATAAAGCAAACAAACGAGATGAATGTTGTTTTGATTTTTTAAAAGCAGCATTTCTTTTCCGTAGAAGATAATGAGTACGCTGAGAAAAACGGAGAGTTCTTACTTTGACAATAGGAATATTTTTGATAGGAACACACTGTTGAACGCTGGCCATAAAATGATGTTGCCACAAGGCAAGTGCGTGATTAGTATCGTTGCTTAAACAAAAAACTGGATCTATAGAGTATAATTTCGAGGCAAACAAACACATATCTATATTTTCATAGTCATGCACTTGACGAAGTACGCATTTAGATTTTACTTCGTATGGGAAAGAACAAGACAAAATATAATGAGGAGACTTGCCTAAAGAAGGAAAGATGGGCGTACTAGGACGAAGAAGACTAGGAGAGAAGAATATATTATCAATAAATGTATTTTTTATTGTAGTTGGTATAGAGAAAGCATTAGTGAGGTCAAAAACATCTATTAAAGAACGTAATCCTACTGATGCTACCGGTCTAACTGTACGAACGTTGAAATCAGCTGACAAAATAATAGAAAAATCTTTTTTTACATGAGAAAGAAGAAAATTTTGTAAAGTGTCAAAGAATGTAGCTGGACGCCTTGGACGACGGTATAAATTACACAAGTAACACGTGTGATTGTTGATTGTAATAGAGAGAAGAAGCGATTCAGTGTCCGTAGAAGAAAGAATAAGGTTATGAGAAATGTCACTTTTTATATATACACAAATACCACCACGCGTATGAAGATTATCACAGCGATAAAGAAAATAGTTAGGAATTGAAATTTCACTATCTGAAATAACTGAGGATAAAAAAGTTTCCTGTAAACAAACAGCAACAGGCTTATGGTAATTTATGAACTGTTCAAGTACGTCAAAGTTCTTAGTTAGGCTCGAATATTGTGAGAAATTATCAAAAACTTAGAGCTGATAGGTACAAAAATAGGTGCAAGAGGATTCAAAATCGATAAAGCATAAAACATAGGAGTTGAAATGACTTGCGAAGAAGAAAAATTACTATCTATTTGACAAACTAGATAGTAGATGAAAGTTAAACGAGTTCGAAATAGGAGTCCAATGGTCGGACTGATCGTTGTTTAAAGCTACAAGAGAAGAACGAGAGAAAAAAGTGTTTTGTAATGTAGCCATTGTACTGTTCGATAACAAGCAGTCAAATAGAGCTTCACTGTTAAATACAATTCTTCAAATAAACGTCAATAGCTTCAGTTAGCTTACGTGTTCCAAGATCGTTCAGATGGATACCATCATGAGCTAACATATTTCGAGTAAACTTACAATTAATAATGTCAATATCAGATAAAGATAATAGCCACTGGTTAAAATCATCAATCTCATTGTTTAATTGGTCTTGTAAAGATGCTTTTAAGTTAGGATCAAACTGAGGTGGTATTGTAACAACTGTATATTTTATATGTTGATGTTTACGTTTCAGTGTTTGAATAAGTTGATTAATAAGCTCTATGGCTTTATCAGAATTAATGTGTTTCATGTCAATTGAACTGATGGAAATTATAGCGTGTGATGAAACATTAAAATGTTGATCAACCCAATTATTATTAACCATATGTGTTAATTTTTTAATTGAAGCGCCATGTTTTATACGAATTTTTATATCAAAATGTTTATCGCCCACAAATAGTTTACCTGGTTCCAAATCACGAACGATACTCGAACCAGTAATCGAAATAGGGACAGATGGATTTGATTTTGAATGTTCATGGTTAGATGAGATGAGAGATGATTGTGATACGGAACTTGATTGCGTTAACTTAGCAGTAACGGACGGTTTCTGAAAACTTTGTTGTACAGGTTGAACTGCAAAGGAAGAGTGTAGCTTTTCAATTGTGACCGATAATTTGTCTATTAAATTAGTAGAGACGAGTTGCTGTTGAGATGAAATAGATAATTGGTCGAGTAACTGTTGATTCATCTTCATAAGACCAACTTGTAGATCGCAAGTTTGACGTAAATCTACACACCGTTCATTCAATAATTTAATATCGTAATTTAAATCTACAATCGTTTCATCTGTTGACATCATTTTAGAGTTAAACCATCGTAATAATTTAACTAATTGACCTTGTGAAAGGTCACCGCATGATTTTTTAGAAGCATCATTTGATCAGCAAATATCATCTAACACCATATAATCGGCCTCTTCACACCATTCAGCCAAACTAAAACTGCCACGGTGAAACATATGCGTGCCAAGTACACGGGCAAAACATGTTTTTCCTAAACGAAACATCAAACCGATAAAGAATATAACTGTGAAAACTCGCCCATTTTGTTAGAAGTATCACACAGATTTTAAACAGCCTAACAGAGAGAGCTTTTCACTAAGACTGTGACGTAGTAGTGCTCAAAATGAAAAAAGGAAGGTGTTGTCTAACCTGATTGTGAGTATCCGATAATAAACAAACATTTGCTTCTTGTTCTTGTTCGTATTTGATCATGAATACGCTGTTGAAAATCGTTTTCTAACCAATGATTAATGTTGTCGCGATGAGCAGGTGGTAATGAAAATGATGTTATTGGAAATGGTGGTTTATAACTAAGTAGTTGTTGAAATTTTTGTTCATGACCGATGAGTTGATTTAATGTGTTTTTCATGGAAGAAAAATGTATTAAATATTCATACGGCATTGTGGATTGTAAAATATTCATAGCTGTGAGAGACAATTAGACAGTCAATAAAAATTAAAGGTATTCTAAACATTATATTACCATTAGATACTGTTGTTTGTTGTAATGCTATTGCTGCATTTTCATTTCGTTGTTCGAAGTAATTACTCTATTCTTTCTCTTTGATTCTTTTTTAATATTGGGAGATCTATAACTTGTTGATTCTGTAAAATAATCGTTATTAAATTTAATTTCTTCATTAAAATCATCATCGTCTAATATTTCTCCATAATCAGTTCTTGTTGCATTTGGTAGTATATCATCTAAAAATAAACGTTTATAATTAGGTCTTACCTTAAACATTGAATGTATTGATACTGCTGGCGGCGCTGCTGATGTGAATGATACACATAAATATTTTAAATTATTTTTAAAACGATTGAATATTTGTACATTAATATCATTATAATCACTATTATCTTGAATATTCCTAAATTCAAAATGATGTTTTGAAAATCGTATTGTTGTACCAATCTTTTTCGATGTATTATATCGTGAAAATACTGTCGGTATTGGTGTAACGGGTGAAATATAAGGTGGTGAAAATGAGGGTAATGATGATGGTGGACGAACGCAATAGGTGGTATTTAACGTGCATGATGAAAAATGCGGTACAGTAGACATTCTGTCAAAGATTCTCTGGAAATCTGGCTTTGAAAAGTTTTCCAAAAATCGATTTTGCTTGTAGAAAGATTGCTTCTAGCCTTGGCCATCGAATGGTGAAAATCGTAAACCTCTATCTTTATTTGGTGCTGAGTTATTCGAAAAATAACCACTGCTCTTCTATTTTGTCTCCAGTAGTAGTTTAAGGTAATTTTTAATCAAAGGTTTTGAACTAATTCACATGTAAATCAGTTTAAATGGGTTCGAATCTAAATTAGTTCTAACGAATTTTTAATTTAAAATTATTTTTAATTAATGCTTTTCCAAACCAATTTAAAACACTATAAAATTACAAATTCGTTTAAATTAATTTGGTAAGACGTTATACCACTACGATAAGCCTGGACAAATTAATTCAGATTAATTTTAAACTGAAAATTATTTTGAATTGATTTCTTTCAGATTAGTTTAAATCGATTTACTACAGTTAAAGGAATTTGGAAAATCATCACTTCAAATTAATTTGAAGTTTCGAATTAGTGTTGAGTTTTCGCATTAATGTACGGACACGGACATACAAACAAACAAACAAACAAATCATACTCTTCGGTTTTCCATTAATTTACAGAATCCATAACATTTTGATGTAGAAAATAAAAAATGCTCTGTTTTGTACATATTTCTGTCAACCGCATCATTTTTTTAACTTTTCGTTATCGTCTATGTATACTATTCTATATCACAGACGCATCGTTTTCTTTAGTCCTCGCCATAAAATGTGTACACAAGTCATGTAAAGCATGGCAAGGTCATGATGAGTGTTGGTCGACAATAACCAAAAATAAGGATAAAACCAATGATTGTACCGGTTGAGAATCACATTACACTGTGAAGTCGAAAAACTTCTGACTGTACCGTCTACATGAATAACAAGACGCTAATTCGGTACACTTCAGCTGTACTCGATATTTGCGCAGAAAGCTTGTTCATTCAAATTTTTCAACTTAAAACTAGCAATTCATAATATCAAAAACTCAAAAGAGTGTCAACAGATATGACTTTTGTGATCTCACGTATAGTTTTATTCGTTGAAAAAGAATCTATATGCAGCAATGACAGTAAAATTCAATTTGTAAACACGACGATCGTTTACAGTTATCATAGAATAACTTGACTTTTATACTTTGTTCTTATTCTATAGGGAAACAAGTAGGAAAGAATAACACACCAATGCATACGCATACAAATTACAGTCCTATTACCAACAACTAAACTGTTTCAATAAAACTATTTAGCTTTTTTAACTTCAGAGTAAGGAGTTGCATCATAATATGAAAAGCCTAGCAATAAAAGAAATTTACAGCTCAAAAACGGTAGAATAAGTAAATGAAAGAGCACTTTCTAACCACCTAAAAATTACTCAGTTAATCGCACAAAAACTGCTTGTGTGAGTAGCACATAACGCATTCTAAGCGCCTAAAAACCCTTTTCTAAGTCACAACACAATAATCTGTAATAATCCACTGCTGAGCATTCAGCTTTTCCAAACTAATTACTATTTGTGTAGTAAAAAGTACAACCTTCAGTAGCATGATTTTTCTACTTTCTAACCCCTCATTTATTCATAGGGAGATTCTCCCCACTGGCATATCGTTTTTGTAGAGAATTAATTGGTAAATCTTTTGCAAGAAACAGCTGAATTTTAGAACATAAGAATCGCGGACAGGCTTCAAAATGCTCGGTTTCTTCTACCCCATCCAGTATACGTCCTGTTCGCCTATTGTTGTTTAAGTCGATCTGCACGATCTTTTCGTGAGTAATGTCCAGAGGCTGAATGCTGCTTCAGAGCTAATGCTTGCACCATAGCTTACTCTTTAATTGAGCTAATTTTTTGAAATATCGATTTTGTAGAGTGAAGAATATCTTTTAAGAATTTTTTATAAAAATTTCTAAAAGCTATTGCCTCATTTTCGATAAAAGCAGTCTACTTTCTGAAAAAACAACAATTTTCCAGACAATGGCAACTTGTTTTTCACAAATGCACAAAAATACCTTTCTTGTAAGCAAAAAATAAATAACAGAAATATTCATAACGCATTGTAGATATTCCCTAACATCGACCGAAGGGAGATGTAAGCGTTGTTTTTACGAACTAGGCCAAATCATCAGGTCGCCAACCATGAAAAATACACATAGAAAATGACTTTATCGGAATTGGTGGAGGTTAAAAAAATTGAACCGAATAAAGCATAGCAGCTGTTACTAGTCTTGAAAAATGTTTTTTATTCTTTTTTAATAATAGAGTTAAAGTTAGATACTTCAGTTCCGTATTTTAATTTTATTTAAATTTTAAATTTAACAAAAACAACAAACGTTTCGATCTCTTTTAATTGAGATCATCTTCAGTGTAAAATATATAAAAATATAAATTATAAAATATAGTTAAAATTCTATTTCATATAACTTGTACAGATTTAAAATGTCGAGTGGCTGCTTAAACTTTATATTGTTGCACGCCTATTTATAGTATGTTTTTCATTTTCTTTTCTTTAACAACATCTGTTGGTGTCTCTCTCTCACAAGGCTTACTTATTCGTACGAACATCGAAGAATAACAAGGGAGCTAAAATAAACAAAAATACATCTTTAGAATATTTACAGGCACAAAGCTTATTTTTTCCCCTCCTCTCTCTCGACCTAGAAGGATAGATTAAGTTAGGCCGTATGATATTGGAAAGAGAGTTGTAAACGAATAGACATATTATTAAGTCATTCTTTATAATTTTTCCTCTTTTATTCGCGTAAAGTATAGCTCGTATAATTATATCTATATGTTCTAGTCTGATTAGTGATAGTATTACTTATAATTTCTCCAGAATTAACAACTAGTTTGTCCACTGTCGAGAAAAAGGTCTTCCCTGTTCTGGGTTGGACCCACTTCTTGACAGTAAACTTCCACTGCGGACTTATTCCTTTGCATTTATTATAACCCTTACTGGCAATAGTATAAACCGTTTCCAGTTTCTTTCTTCTTGCCCAATGCTTTTCTTTATCAAAGATAACGCTTTCATCGAAATTAACAAAACAATCGGGGTTCTCTGCATGTTGTGCTCACTCTGATCCTTTGAAATCTCTCTGTTTAATTTTCCGCATATGTTCATTTATTCATCTTTTAAACGAGAAAGTCTCACCCACAAAAATATAACCCCATGTACATGGTACACCATATACACTGTCTTGACCACATTCACATTCGTTCTTTTGATCAGGAACGCAATCTTTCTGTGCGATTTTCTTTGCTTTATTAAGCATTGATACTATGCTACGATTTAAAGTGGTATAGATTTTAATGTTAAATTTAGCTAAATGTACTCTTAATTTTTCCGTTAACA